GTGTGTGACCTGCTCTGACCAGCTCCCCCCTCCCCACCTCTACAGCCTCCATGTACTCCGAGATCCAGAGGGAACGGGCAGACATCGGTGGCCTGATGGCCCGGCCCGAGTACAGAGAGTGGAACCCAGAGCTCATCAAGCCCAAGAAGCTGCTGAACCCCGTGAAGGCCTCGCGGAGCCATCAGGAGCTGCACCGAGAGCTGCTCATGAACCACAGAAGGTGGGGACGGAGCTGGGCTGCCTCAGCCTGGCTAGCACCTGCTCAGGCTGCTGGGGCCTGCGGGGCTGCCCCTCGTGGAAGGCAGGCCTGGGGGTAATCCTGGGGCTCCTGGGAGCTTGAGGAGGGCTGAGGGTACCCCACATGGTGACCAACAGACACTGTGAAGGTCCAAAAGCCCTGTCCTCCCATCCAGCTACCCGCTGTGTGCCTGACCTCCACATACTTGTACTGAGCGCCTGCGATGGGCCAGGCACTAAGCCAGACCCTGGGGTTCACGAAGGAATGTTCCTGCCCTTAGAGAGGGGATGGATGCATAGCCAGAGGGTAGGACGGGTGGTTCCATGGGGTATGTTTCCAGCAGATGGATGAACCTGGAAACTGGACAGGAAACACCAACCGCTCAGTGTGATTGGAGCATAAAGTGTGAGGGAGGCCAGAGGAACCATGCAGTCCCCGGAAGGGGCTCAAGCAGGAGTATCCCAACCCTGGAGGGGCCGTGAATGGACCAGGGGGGCTGGGGGTGCAGTGAGAGAGGCAGGCCTGGGGCAGGGCTAGGACTCGCAATTGAAGGAATGTGGAGAGGGAAGAGGGAAGCTGAGCCTCTGTCCACTCCCAGGCCTGGAAAACAGTCCAGGCTCACCAGCGCCAGAATGGAGGCGTCGGCGCCTCCGCAGCTCCCTCTCCTGGCCACTTCTAGGACTGGCGCGGGCTGGGATTCTCATTCTGGTTTTCAGCTGTGTGCAAAGGACCTTCCCGCAGATAAGTTTGTATCGGTGGTGGAGTTTGTTTTCCTCGTAGTATATCAGAAGTATTTCTCTGGTTGCCTTTTAGAGTCATCCCTTTTAATGCCAAAAACCACTACCACAGTTTTTAAAAAAAAAAAAAAAACTAAAGACAAATCAACAGAGATATTTGCAATATAAGTAACAGACAAAAATTAATATATACAGACCTCTCATAAATCCGCGAGGAAAAAATTAGCAAAAGGTAGGTATAGTTAGTTCACAAAGGAGGAAGTGCAGATAGCTGGTAAACAAGTCAAAGGCTGTTGGATATGCTAATAATCAAAGAAACAAATGAAAACCAGGTGTTATTTCTTGCCTAACAGGTTCACAAATACAATAGGGTTGGGTGGTGATGGTGGGGAGAAATTGATGCCCTGGTACCCTGTGGACAGAATATAAATTGGAGAATCTTTCCTAAGGGGCAGATGGAAATGCGTCCAAAATCTCTTAAAGGAGACTGACCCAGCAGTTCCACCCTTAGGAACATATCCCAAGAAACTAACCTGAGATAATATAAACCGGGTGCAAATCCTCACTCAGCCCCGTCGTATCTGTGACTTGGACCAGTGTCTGAACTCCTAGGAGCCTCACTCCCCTTCTCTGCATAAGGGACAGTGGGGGTTCCACATGCCACACCCTGGGTTGCCAGGAGGATTGCACGAGATAATGGTAGTAAGAGACAGGAGGGTGGGGAGTTGGGGTCTCCTGACGGCTCCCCCCGCCCCAGGGGCCTGGGTGTGGACAGCAAGCCCGAGCTGCAGCGCGTCCTGGAGCACCGCAGGCGGAACCAGATCATCAAGAAGAAGAAGGAGGAGCTGGAGGCCAAGCGGCTACAGTGTCCCTTTGAGCAGGAGCTGCTGAGGCGGCAGCAGAGGCTGAACCAGGTGAGTGAGGACACCAGCCCCGCTGCCCTGGCCCGCCGTCCCCTAAGAATGCCCGTTGGCCCAAGGAAGAGCTCTGCGTGTGGCCACAGCTGGCCAGTTGAGCAAAACGAGGGCTGGACCGTGAGTCCACCACTGGCCTGAGCCCTCACTCTGCCGCTCGCTTCGCTGGGTGACTTTGGGCCCGTGGCTTCCCCTCCCTGAACCTGTTTCCTCATTGGCCCAATCCATTGCGTGTTGATGCTGATTTCATCATCACAACTGCCCTTGAGCCAGGTAGCGTTCCCATGTGAGAGCTGAGGCCCAATGAGGTGAGCAATTTGAACGAAGCTTCACAGGGGGAACTTGGTCTCATGATCTGTCCCCCCAGCTACCAGGCTGGTGGCAAAACTGGCCCCTGGTTCTGTTTCCCCAGAGAGGACCCTTGGTCCAAACCCAGTGGCTTTTGAGCCTCGGAATCCCCCTAGCCCCACCCACTTCACGCCTCCCCTCTCTCCTTCAGCTGGAAAAACCACCGGAAAAGGAAGAGGACCATGCCCCGGAATTCATTAAAGTCAGAGAAAACCTGCGGAGAATCACCACGCTGTCGAGTGAAGAGCGGGTGCTGTAGAGCTGGCTGGGGGAGCCCCGGCCCCCCGCAGCCCTCCCCCGGCCCCCACACCCTCCTCCAGCCCTTCTGTATCTGGCAGCCCTGAGCCCCCAGGTTTGGGGACATCTGCTGCGGTCATGCTTGCTCCTGTAAACTGCACTGTCCCAGAGGCCCTGCCTATCGCTCCCCCACCCCCCACCCCCGGGAGCTGGGGGTCCCGAAGCTCGCAGGAGTTTCCTTCTGAGCACTCACCCCTCCTGCCCCAAGAGGAAGCCACCTGGGAAAACTTTCACAGGGCACCTCCCTGCAGGGGCGCCCAGCCCTTCCTGGCCCGACAGCCCTCCATTCTGCCCAGGCCCCCATGGGACCCTGAGTCTCTGGGCAGCTCCACTCCCAGGTCTCAGAGAATTTCCCTGCCCGCGGTTTCACCTGCAGCCAGGGGTGAGGCAACTAGTCGGAGCATCTCAGGACACCTGTCTTGAAAGCCAACCAAGGGGAAAAGGTTCAAGTGCAGTTGTCTCTGGTGAGGAAGGGCAGGGCAGCCCGCAGGTGGCTCCCATCATGGCAGGTGGGAAGGGTAGTAACAAAGACAGCTGCTTAGAGTTTGCCAGCCTCCCCCCACACCCCCTCTCCCCGGCCCCCTGGTCCAGGCCTCGTAAGCACTCCCAGCCAGGGCTTCAGCCTTCCTGCTCCCAGGGTCTGCAGCAGTGCCTCTCAGACTCCATCCTGCCTACGGCTCACTGGGGTCTTGTTAAGTTACGGCTTCTGCGTCAGCAGCTCTGGGGTGGGGCTGAGAGTCTGCATTTCCATCAAGCTCTGGGGCCACACTGAGCAGCAAGGCCGGAGCGCCAGGGGTGCTAAATATTGGAAACGTCACCCCTGAAGCCATCCTGCCCCCCAAGTCCCTCGGGCCTGTGCCCTGGGGTTCCCCCTTCCCTTGCAGCCTTCAGGGCTCTCTGGGTCCAGCCCACCCAGGGCCCCAGGCCCGAGAAGAATAAAGCCTAGCAGGTCGTGCCAGGTTTATGACGGATTCTCACCAGATATCTCACAGTCCAGCACCTCCAATCTGCATTTCTACCGCACTGTTGTGGTGCAATTCTAGCCAAAATATATATATATTTTTTTACCTAAAGCCCATGGAGAGCACATACACAGGGGTTTCCGATAGGTTTCTGGAAATAGAAACAGTGATTGCAGACCCCACTGCCACCCTCTCGGACTGGCCCCTGTGAGTCCCCATTTTCAGCCTTTGGACCTGAGACCCACCCCCTTGGCTTCTGTGCCCCCCAACCCCCGCGGGGCAGCTCCAGGGACCTCACCCACGGCTTCCCCAAAGCCCTCCCACGCAAGACCAAATGGTTTCACCTTTTGCTCCCATTTTTCAAGATTTAAAGAATAAACCAGGCCTGTTGCTTTCTCCCCTGAAGAGCAAACCCTGCCTCTGGCTTTGTAAGCCCACCATTTACGGGGAGCATTTCTTTGCACCCAGAGACAGCTGCCATGGCGATGCCCTGGATTCTTGGCCAACAGTGGGACCTGCAGGAGAGAGGCCATCCCGGTCTTACTCCTGACTGTGTACTCTGAGGGTAACCGAAATGTGGATAGCGACAGGCTGCGTGCGTGCATGCATGGGTGTGTGTGCATGGGTGTGTGTGTGCATGTGTGCATGGGTGTGTGTGCATGGGTGTGTGTGCATGTGTGCATGGGTGTGTGTGCATGGGTGTGTGTATGGGTGTGTGTGCATGTGTGCATGGGTGTGTGCTCGCATGTGTGCATGGGTGTGTGTGTGTGCGCGCGTGCGTGCATGCGTGGGTGTGTGTGTGCAATCCGGCTCTAAAAGGCTCACAGAAGTGACTGTCTTCTTGAGGATGCGGTGCCGCTGTTTTAAATGTCTGCCAGGTGAGGTGATGCTCAAGACTGACCCTCCCTCATAAAGACCGCTGCTCCCCCCCGAGAAGCCACCTCGGGGTCGATGTGTTGTTCAGATGTGAAGAGAAGCAGGAGAGGGTGTCTAGCCTGGAATAGGCCCCTTAGGATTTCACTCAGGTGTTGCCAGGGGTGCTTCAGGGAGGCGGCAAGGCACGGAGACAAAGGCCCCAGAAGTAGAAGGGACCTTCAGTCCCACTGGCCCAGTGGAGCCACGGTGGACACCCCCGTTCACTCCCCAGTGGTCAGTCCCAACGCCTCTCTAGTCACCTCCCACTGTTGAGAACCATCCAGATCCTCCCTGTTCCAGCCCCTTCGCAGCTCGGGGTGAGCACGTGCCCAGGGATGGGCAGTGACATGTAAGAGGAAGTCTACAGGAACTTCTGGGAAAGCTGATGCTCTTCTGATAAAAGAGACGGCCATGGGTCCCAGCTTCTTCCTGCCTTGATTGGGGATGTGATGCCTGGAGCCACGGCAGCCCTCTCGCTACAAAGAGAAAAAGGCCAAGAGAATCTCAAAGACATTGACCTTATCATCATTGGACCAAGCCAATGCCTGCAACCTTCCTCCTACAGAACTCTTGTAAATAGAAATAAAGCCCTCTTTGGTTAAGCCATCGTTGGCCAGTCTCTGTTATTTGTGGACAAAAATATTCCTGACACAGAAAGCGAGCCCTGCTGCCCAGAACTACCTGCAGACTAAACTGCAAACCCAGCTCCCTCTTCCCATCAGACACCTGTTGGGTCCAGACCCCCAGCAGCAGTACCGGGACCTGCCCTTCCACACCTCCTCCCCGTGGCCTACAGGGCTCCTAGCATCTGGACACCACGAATCCCCACACCATTCAGTACCAGCAAGTATCTGCTGAGTGCCTGCTCTGTGCCGGAAGCAGGTCGTGTGCTGGGGGTGCGGTGGGAAATGAAACATCTGGAACCCTGGGGTGGCCTCCTCTGAACCGGTCTCCTTGTTTCTGTCCCTGCCCTACGCACAGTCTGTTCTCGACAGAGCGGCCAAATGACCCTGTTAAAAATCTAAGGCAGATCTTATCCTTCCTCTGCAGAGCCCTCCACGGCTCCCAGTAGAGCCCTTCCCTTGACGGAGAAGGTCCCGTGTCCACTCCCTCTTCACCTGTGACCTGTTTCCCCCTGCCCGCCCCCCTCGCTCACGCAGCTCTCCAGCCTGGACTCCTCACACCCACCAAGCACGCCGCACCTCAGTGCCTTTCCACCTGCTAGTCCCCGGCCAGGGGTGCCCTTCCCTCTGGGAGCCACGCAGCCTGCTCTCGCTAAACAGGCCCTCCTCGGTCACCCCATCTAAAACCTCAACATCCACTCATACCCTCTACCCTCCTCCCCTGCCTTGTTTTTCCTCCTCACCATTTATCACCATCTAACGTTATGTATTCCACTTGCTGATCGCGTGTCTCTCCTAACAATAATGTCAGCACCGTGAGGACAGAGACTTTAGTCTGTCTTGTTCACTGCTGATTCCCAAATGGCTTTTCCGCTCCCCCCGCCCCTCCTTCTTGGCCAGCAGGTGGCTCGGCTCAGGTAAACCTGGCAAAGTGGGCCCAGCGACCAGAATCACAGATCATCCCACTTCCGGCTTTGAGAAAAGGCAACGGGCCAAATAGGGCACAGGGCACTCCGCAGGTGCTCCATAAATGTTTGTTGAATCATTGCGGAACCCTCTCTTCCCTCCCCCCAGCCTCTTCCCAGGGCCAGCCCCTCCCATCCCCATCCCCCACCTGCCTCCTCCCTCCACAGTTTTGACCCTGCCCAGAGATGTCAGCTGGGCAGGACACCGGACCCTCTGGCATTTGTGCCTGCAGGACCCGCATGGAGCTGGAGACCTTGGAGAAGGAGGAGCCCCGGCGTCAGGCCTGCCCAAACGGAGGCCACGAGCAGCAAGCCCTGTGCTCACGGAGGCCACATTCCCTCCCGCCCACAGGACCACAACCTGAGTTTGGGTTTGGGTTTGGGTTTGGGTTTGGGTTTGGGTTTGGGTTTGGGTTTGGGTTTGGAGGGCACCCTCTTCAAGGGTGCACAGCACCAAATACAGAGCCCGGAGGGAGGGGGGACAAAGGGGCCTCCTCCCCCACCCCCTGTTCTGCAGTGCGTGCTCCTGGGGCCTCGCCAAACTCAATATTACATAATTCCTGGGCTATGAGGACAGGGTCACCCTTACCAGTCCCAGCCCAGGGCTCTGCACACAGTAGGTGTTCAGAAAGGTTGTGAGTGGGTGTCAGTAAAGATGACTGCATTACGGAGGCCAGCAATGCTCCACCATGACAAGTCAGTGTCGTCGTCACGGACCTGAGAGCCGTCACGGAGCAACGCCTGGGGAGGGGAGGTTCACGCCGAGCCGGCTGTCGGCACAGCCTGCCTTTTCCTGTGGGCGCGGGGCCTGGCTCTTAGACGCTCATCGGAGGCCCCTGTGCCATCCTGACCTTTGGCCATGAGATCTGAGAACCTGTTTCACCTTCCGAGTGTGTTTTGTCCATCTCAACTTAAGGGATTCACCTCCACCTATAAAAACAGACTCAGGCCAACTAGACCGACATGAATCCTGGGGTGAGGACCGTCTGCACACTGTCATGGCCCCACCCCTAGTGTCACCCCCAACCCCCCAGCCCGGCAGTCTCTGGGTACAGCCAACAGGTCCGAATCTACCATCGTGTGCCACTCTTGCCCCCTGCAGGACTGGACCTACTGCCGAGCAGTGCCTAAAGGACTTGATGTGTCGGCCCCCAAAGACCCACCAACACCCCACCCCTTGCTCCCCAGGGCCTTGCCTTAAGGCACCCCCTTTCCTGGCTTCACGAGAACAGATCCTCACGCTTCCGGGATGAACTGCCCACATCTCAGCCTGTGGCAGTTATCTGAGTTGAGGGTCGCTGGCGCTCACCCAGAGAGGACGCGGGACTGGCTTGTTTTTCCGAAGCCGGCCCTATCAGTCCGTGTGCCCATCTGCTCCCCAGAAAGAACTGCCCAGTCAGGGGCCCCGGCAACCCTCCTGGGCAACAGCCAACCCAGTGGGGCTCCCCCCGCCCCTCCAAGGAAAGGCTTCCCATGGGACCGGGCACCTAACTCTCCCTTTTGGGTGCCTGACCTCACTTGGCTTGCCCTGGGGGAGGGCTAGTTCTGTGGCCAGGCCTGGAGTGCACCCCCAGCTCAGCCAGTCAGTATTTGTCACAAGCCGGCCAACTTGCTGGACCCCATTTTCCGGACCTATCAGTGTGATGCAGGTAACGATATCTGTGTCTACTGAACACTGAGCGCCTTGCCCGGGGACTGGGCTGAATATATGAACTCTCTCATTTTCTCCCCCCAGGACTGTCCTTGCCTCTATTTTACAGGTGAAAGATCCAGCGTTTAGAGAGGAAAGCCCCTGCCCAAAGCACACAGTCAGCAGGTGGCGGAAGCCAGAGGGGAGCCCACGCCCGCCCGTCCGCCCACACATTTATCCTGGCAGCGTTGCCGGTGGGGGCTGTGGGAGGATGTTTGCAAAGCGCCCACACTTCAGCTTTCCCATCTGTCCGCAGAAGCTTTCTGCCCGTGTGCTCAGGCCCAGCAGCCTTCCCCCTCGTCCCCCCTTCCTCCTTCCCAGCCAGCAGGTGGCCTGGCCCACACCGACCTTGTGGAGTGGACCCCAGGGACGAGGCTCCCAGCTCCATCCCCTCACAGCTTTGACAAAAGACAGTGGCCAAATGGGGTACAGGGGTCCACCTGCCTGCCCTCGGCCCAAGAAGTCCGGGAAGGAGCAGGATGGAGAGACACGTGCATCGAGCCCCCTCCATGTGTCTGGCAGGTCCTGGAACGTGAGTGAATCGAGTGCCTAGCTCAGGGCCTGGCACATTTCAAGGGGTGGCAGTTCCTCCCCCCTCTTTCTGTCTCCCCTTTAAGGACATCTTGACAGGTGGCACAGGATGTCAGATTGGGGCGGGGGGGGGGGTGGCTCTGCCACTCGCCAGATGGGTGACCTTGGACAAGCTCCCTAACATCTCTGAGCTTCTTGTGCTGCGTGAGGGTCCGATCGCACCAGCACCACTGGCTGTCGGGAGGACTGAGTCAACCAACAGAACATTTGGCAAGAGCCAGGCGCACGGCCAGCGCTCAATACAAGTTAATCATCATCTTCCCGGTCCTCCATCGTTTCACTCTGTCACATTGGCCAGGACCTGACCCCTCCACGCCCTGTTTCCACTTGGTTATTTCTCTTAGCCCCTAAGCTCGCTGGACATCCATCCCTTTCTCATGGCTGGTCGCCCCAGGCCCTCTGCCCTTCTCTCGGTCCCATACTTTCTCACACCCCATCCCTTCTCCATCCCCATACTGTCTACTCCTTCTCCTGCCACTTCAAAATGACTCCTGAGAATTTCTTGTCTGCTTTCATCCACCAAGGCCTCTCCAAACCCAAGGAGGCCGAGAGCACCTGCATGGCCGGCACCCCCGTGGCTTCCTGGCCCCTTCCCCTTCGGCAGGGCCCTGTGACTAGTTCTGATCGGTGGGATGAGGGAGGAAGGAGGATGAGGGTCCCTTCTGGGCTGGGGCAATGAGAAGCCCCGGGGGACCCTCCGTCTCTCTCTCCCCAGCAGCACGTGCAGGGGCTTCCAGTTAAGGTGAAGGAGCCACAAGGCAGAGCAGCCTGGCTCGCTCAGTCCCCACATGAGGGCAGCTGTCCTGGACTGTGGCACACCCGCCGCAGACGAGGCGCGAGAAGGAAGCAAACCTGTGCTCAGCCTTTCAGATCCGGGTGGTGCGTGGCTGCAGCACAGGCTGCCGTGCTGCCGAACGCTCGACCCAAACCAAGGCCACAGAAGTCGCGGCGTTCCTGTCGTGAAAAGGGATAATGTTCTAAGTGATGTTTTGAACAAGTAAATGACATGGATGCTAATTTAACTCAAAACGTAATTCATTCCAATAAAATCATTAAAACACTGATAGGAACAAATGGGTGAAGATGGAGACGGATATGGTCCTGTGAGCTGGGGAGATGGGTTGATATTATCCATATGAATCCAGGGAGATTGTCGTCTTTACTAGATTTTAAATCCCCAGGAGAAACCTGAGACTTTGACAAGTCAACTGTACTAATCAAGACTCTTTTGGTGGCAAGTAAAAGAAATCCAACTCAAACTGAATTTAAGAAGAAAAGGGAGCCGAAACCGGTTTGGCTCAGTGGATAGAGCGTTGGCCTTCGGACTGAAAGGTCCCGGGTTCGATTCCGGTCAAGGGCATGTACCTGGGTGCGGCACATCCCAGTAGAGATGTGCAGAGGCAGCTGATCGATGTTCTCTCTCATCGATGTTCTAACTCTCTACTCTCTCCCTCCTCTCTGTAAAAATCAATAAATATATTTAAAAAAAAAAGAAGAAGAAGAAAAGGGAATTTCTATTTCAAAAGTATAAAGTCAACCTCAGATATGGCTGGATCCAGGACTCAAGACATCAAGCTCTGGTTCTCTCTCTTATCTCTCTCTCTCTCTCTCTCTCTCTCTCTCTCTCTCTTTTGCAAGCTTTCTCCGTGTGGGGGGTGAGATGACTGACTCTTGCTAGCCTCTGACCCTCCTCCAACTAAGCAAGCACAGCACAAAGTGTCCCAATTAGGAACCATTTG